CTAGGCTTTGAATTTCATGGGTTAAGTTTTGTTTTGGAGTGCATACAAGCATGATTCCACCTTTAATTGTTAATTGCATGTTGTAGATGTTGGTCAAATGAACTAGTTGTCACAAATTTTTCCTTCACTATCACCCAGATACCATCGTAACCATTTCGCGTACGAGGTAACTTGTACACGAAATCCATTATAATATCTTCCCATTTCCACTAGGGTATCGGGAGTGGTTGTAGCAACCCGAATGGCTTCTTTCTCTCCGCCTTAACCTGTTGACAAACTGCACAACGACTCACATACTCTGCAATTTCTCTTCTCATTCCAGGCCAATAGTAGAAGGGTCGGATGGTATGATACATCTTGGTACTTCTAGGATGCATCGCATAAGCTGAATATGTGCTTCATCTAGTATTTCTTTCTTCATTTCTACTACATTCGGCACATACATCCGATCACCTTGCATCAGCATACCATTAAGCCTTCGAATCCTGAAGTCTTCTTTATCCCGTCTAACACTGAAGCTATCAAGTAGGGCTCCATGTCGATCCATTTCTAAAGCTACTCCAGTAGATCTCAAATTAATGACGACATTAAATGTTTTGGAAACATTTAATAAGTAAATCCTTTTAAGTTAAAAGGATTAATGCATAACCTAGTTAACCTACGAGCTCAAATTCACTCGACTAGCATCTATAAGATGCAATACTGATTGACTTTAGTGCAAGTGGGAGATTGTTGGAGATATGCCCTGAAAGTCAATCTTTGGAAGAAACCTTTCAGGACAATGTCTATATGTATGGAAAACTCTAATACATCAAAAGCCAAAGTCACTCATTAGGACTATCTCAATAAACGATATACGTCCTAAAAAGTGAATCAATGGACAATTGATCGATGGAAGAAGTAATCTAATGATGTTAGACTACAAAGACCTTCTTCACATAACCATGATGTCCAAAAAAAAAAAAAGGTTCCTGGTCATAGGATTGTCGGAGGGACATTGACAATACATAGACCAGTACATACTATGTCCCCTTCCAATGGGAAGGATGGAAAGTCTCATGCCATTCGTGTAGTGACACTAATGTTGGAAATGTGCCCTAAAACCAATCATATGATGATACTTTACGGACATTTCGCATTTTAAACTAATCTAGTTTAACTATAAAGGGCAAAGATTATTGTTTGATCCGTCTCATATAAATGTTATATGCTTAAACGATAAAGTCCAAGGAATATGTGATTGGAAGAATGTAATCTAATGAAGTTAGATTCATGAGACCATTCTTTCGTAGACACATCCTAAATGTTCCTGATCATAGGATTGCCAATTGGGCATTGACAGTCCGTCAAGATCGGTACGTGCTATGTCTTCTCTCAGGGAGAGTGACTAGTCTCGAGTCATTGGTGTGTGTGACATCAAGACAAGTACGTAGGTGCTCAGTAGAGAATGAGTTCACTGAACGCGATCAACGAAGAGTTCTCATACTCATGTCACATGAGAACTCATGTTTGGGATAATGCAAATTAGTCCTTTGACCTGAGGCATCACAGTTGTCTTGTGTGGTTAAGTCCTTGATCTTTGATTATGTCAATGTCACCCCATCGGGGTGTCCACGGCATCGTTGGGGTTAAGCCACTTAGTCATGGAGGCAAGTGAATGCGCAACAAGGGATCTCTAACCTTCAAACCGTTTGAGGGAGAATACTCTATGATATGATTTAGAATCTCTGGCCAGAGTATGAATGAGATTTAGGAATGCGTTCCAAATCACATTCAAAGTAATCATATATGCACAAGATTCACATTGGATAGTAGACATGAATAAACTATCAAACCAAACAATGTGGTCAAGAGTATTGTATTAGAGAAGGACCGTATTGCATTTGTAATCCTAAACTGAATAGGTTCTTAACCTCTTCTGATTAGCTTGGGTAACCATGACATACGGCTAGGTGTCACTCATGGTATGTGGAAGCCCTAAAAGTGTATTATCACTAAAGGGAGAATTGAAAGTAAGTTTCAATTCATAATCGATTTGAAAGAGTTTTGATCGCCCACTGCCTCGCTAAAAGGAACCTAATGGATCGTACACCGTATAAGGTGGAGATGGATGAAACAAACTAAATGAGTAAGAATAATTGAAATAGTTTAATTATTTATGGCAAGGATTAATTAATATGTTAATTAATCAAACGAATAAGTTCGTTAAAGACCTCGGGATAGGTTTTGGACCTTAAGGCCCAATGGGCTTCGAACGTCAAGCCCATTGACTTAAGTTGTATGACAACTTAATGAATAATGATTCACTAAGACCCAAAAGCCCAAACAACCCCCCATGGCCGGCCATATAGAGAAAGGGTAGTGAACTTGCTTTAATTACAAGTTTGCCACTCAAATGAATAAAGGTATAAATATGACTTTATAGCCTTTTATTCATTAAGGGTTTGTTTTGGGGAAAATTGGTGAGAATTGTCTCTCCATTTCTCTCTAGAAAGGCCGGCCACCATGGAAGTTGTAGCTAGCCATCTATTCTTCCATGGTCACTCATTTATCATCCATGCTCTCCTTGGTGTAGATCCATCCAAATCCATGGATCTAAGATGCAAGGAATGAAGGCCCTATCTCTTGGGTGATTAGCCTTTGTTTAAATACAAAGAGGAATCTACAAAGGTATATATTTCAACTCACTTTGTTTTGAGTTGTTTATTGGTTCACCAATCTACTAGGCTTTGAATTTCTTGGTTAATGTTTTGTTTTTAAGTGCATGCTAGCATGATTCCGCCTTTAATTGTTAATTGCATGCTTATTGATGTTGCTTAAATGAACATGTTTTCACAAAATATTCCTTCAACTAAGACAAGTGTATAGGTGCTCATTATGGGAATGAGTTCACTGAACACAATCAAACGAGAGTACTTGCATGGAGGTCTACTCACATGTCAAGCAAGTAACTCTACTGGTTGGAATAATGTAAGTAATCCTTTGACCTGAGACATCATAGTTGTCTTGGGGATACCTTACTGATCATTTGATAATGAGACGTGACCACATCTCATCTTGGATGTGTTCTATGCATTGTTGGGGTCAATGATTTATTCTCAGAGGCATGTGAATGATCAACAAGGGATCTCTAATCCTTGTTATGAGAGGATGAATACTCTAAGATATGATTCAGGAATCTTTGCCCGAAGTATCGAGCGTAATGATGGAAAGCGTTCCTATCCAACTCAATAGAATCATATAACTTGATATAATCACATTAGGGGTTTGACATTAAATATTCATACCCTAGTAATGTGATTGTGAGTATTGTATTAGAGAATGATCGAATTACATTGTAATTCCAATTGAATAGGTTCTCCGAACAAATTCTACATTAGCTTGGGTAGCCATGATATATGGTTAGATGTCACTCATGGCTTGTGAGTTCTTCTAGATGATTAAATAAGTATTCATCAAAGAAGAAGGAGAATTAAAAGTAAGTTTTAATTCACTAAGTGATTCGATAAATAATAATCAATTGGATTGATACCAATCACCTCACTGCCTTGCTAATTAGAACCTAAAATGATTGTACACCGAAACACTCTTGTGGTGAGACAACTAAAGGATGATGTAATTAATTAATTGAATTAATTAAGTGTTATGATTAATTAGAAAGTCTAAAGAAATCATATAAACGATAAAAGATCGTTTAGGACTTAAAGAAAAGTTCGGGTTCATTCGGGCCCATTAGGCCCAAATGAATTGGGTCCTTTTTATTCAAGCATAGAATGACTTGAGATGATAAAAGCCCAAATTCCAAACCCACACTAAAGCGCAGGCCAATACTAGTGATAGGAGAGAGAGGGAGTCAAGTGGTTGACTCACTTCTTTAACATTTATAAAGGAAGTTTAGTGAAAAAGTTTCATTAGGGTTTTTGTGTGTTCTTTTCAACAAGAGAAAACAAAACTCTCTCTCTCTCTACACACCATATAGCCGGCCACCATAAGGGAGAAATAGCTAATCATCTTTTCTCCTTTTTTGGTTATTCCAACATCCATCTCACTACACTAGTGGGTGTGGATCTTTAGAGGTCTTCTACTTTGGGGACTATAGGAGAATCAAAGGAGCTCTAAATCTATCAAGGTGGAGGAAGCAAGGAGGGAGGCTAGACTCAAGGAGTTCCAAGAACAAAGAGCTTGGAGGTGGTCCATCATTGGTCTCAAGTCTAGATCAAGAGGTATAAAACTATACCTTCACTTTGTTCTTCAATATTTTCTTAGATGCATCATATATGAACCTATGCTTCTTGAAAGGGATTTGCATGACTATAGCTTTGATATTATGTGATAACATGCTTCCGTTGCAAATGTATATAAATTTTGGATTGTATATGCATGCTAGTCACTAGAAATCCCACATAAATCTCATAATTTCCCTTCATAATATAAGTGCAAAGGATCAAATGCCACAAAATGTCATACTTCCTGTTGAAATTTTTTATGTTTGGGGCATTGATTTTATGGGTCCTTTTCCTTCATCACATGGTTTCCTTTATATCTTACTTGCTGTGGATTATGTGTCGAAATGGGTGGAAGCAAAAGCAACCTGAATTAATGATTCTCGAGTGGTTGCAGATTTCATTAGAACTAACCTATTTGCAAAGTTTGGCATACCAAGAGTAATCATAAGTGATGGAGGTTCTCACTTTTGCAATAGAACCATTAAGGCGTTGTTGAGGAAGTACAATGTCAACCATAAGGTTTCTACACCTTACCACCCTCAAACAAATGGCCAAACCGAGGTTTCAAATAGAGAAATCAAGTAGATTTTAGAGAAAATCGTTGGGCCAACCAGGAAAGATTGGAGCTTGCGTTTGGATGATGCGTTATGGGCATATCGCACGGCATATAAAACACCCCTTGGCATGTCCCCATTTCGGCTCATCTATGGCAAACCATGCCATCTTCCCGTAGAATTGAAGCATAAGGAGCATTGGGCTTTCAAAACGTTCAACATGGATCTTGATGCCGCTGGAGTTCATAAGAAGCTCCAATTGAATGAACTTGAAGAGATTAGGCATGAGGCTTATGACAACGCTCGAATTTACAAGGAGAAGACGAAGGCTTTTCATGATAAGATGATTCGAGGCAAATCATTCTCTGTTGGGCAGAAAGTGTTACTTTTTAATTCCCGCCTTCGATTGTTTCCTGGTAAGTTGTGTTCTAAGTGGGTTGGCCCATTTGTTATTACTAATGTCTTTCCTTATGGTGCAGTCCAAGTTCAAAGCTTGAAAACAGGACAAGAATTCAACGTGAATGGACATCGGTTAAAGCCCTACTATGAGAATTTCGAGGAGCATGTGGTGGAGGATGTGCCCCTCCATGCCGTGGGCACTAATACAGATTAACATGGCAGATTCATCCGGCTGCAAGACGTTAAAGCAAGTGCTTCTTGGGAGGCAACCCATGCATTCAACTTAGGAATGATGGAACTTTCACTCCGAACGCAAATTTGCGTTCCTACACCCTTATCTTTGCTGCCTTTATTTAATCATGCTTAATTGGTTGTTGTTTGTGAGCTTTTGTGTGAGTCTTTGTGTGAAACATTGAGGACAATGTTTGATTTAAGTGTGGGGGGGGGGTACACAAGTGTTTTTATGCAAATTCGTGGGTTTTTATCACCTATCCCCTTTAATGTTGTTTCTCACTGTTTTTAAGTGTTTTTAGTGCATTTTGAGCTGTTTTGGTGTGTTTTGAAGTAAAAATCCGAAAATTTGAAACAAATCTAGAAAAAGTGTTTTGAAAAAAGACAAAAAGAGTTGTTTTTGTGTGTTTATTTGTGTCTTAGGGTACCTTCCAACATAATGATGAGGATTTGGTTTTAAGTGCATGATTGTTAAAGAGAGTTACAAACATGGATGGAAGTTTAATATGCTCTTTGGTTTATGCTTGGTTGTAGTTATAGTTTATGAATTCACATGTAATCACAAAGGATAAAATCAGTTTTTGTAACATGCTTGAAGGAAGGAACTCAAACAAACGCTATATCCCTGAGAGACTTGAGCCTAAACGTTTATTGGAGAGTTATTAATTTGTGCATTCTTGTTTTCTAAAGTCGTTGCATTATCTCATTATTCTTTGCTTGGTTGGTACTTAGAATGCGTTCACATTATGTATCCAAATACTAGAACTCATGCCCGTTCCATTCAAAGCATGACATTGATTTGCATAACACATATTCAAGATGAAGTTGTTTAGTGAACCAAAGCCAAATAGCCGAATCCACCCTTGTCATTTGTTTTGTAGGTTTAAACCCCGTTGAGCCTTGTTTAGCCTATTTTCTTTGTTAACCACATCATCTCTACCTAGCCTAGAATAGGACCATTCATACCTTGTTCTTGAAGTATAGTAGAGCATAACTTAGAAGGAATCCCTTTTGAGTGACATTATTGCAAAAAACAAGTGTGGGGGAAGAATGTTTCAAAGTGTGTGTTTGGTGCGCCAAAGACAAGGGCATGACATAAAAGAAGAAAAAAGAAAAAAAAATTCATGGAAAAAGAAAAAGAAAAGAAAAAGTGTGTTGAAAAGAAAGAAAAAGAGTTCTGAATAAGTAAGAATGAACTCACATGTGTTGGTTGTTGAAGAAAGGGTTCAAACGTTTGAATTTGACCCTAAGGTGTTGCATGAATCTTCCCTTGTGTTTAAAAAGTAGATTTCTGCATTCTAAAATGAATTCTAAGTGCCTAATTCATTACATTGCTCACTATTGCTTTAAGAACGTTTGTTTACCTTTACCTTTCTTTGTTAGCCAACACCCTTACCCCCGTTACAACCCTTGACTTCCATCTTGAGTTTTGTGTGTTTCAATATGTGGAGTTTGGGAATTGGTATGAGCATATGATATCACTGGTTCTCGCTTCTAAGTAGTAGCATTCCATTCATGAGATCATATATATACATGCATTAATAATTCCAAAAATTGCTTTTTTGTTGAAAAACATATGTGAGTACTAGTCTTCATGTTTACATCAATCTTCTCATATATACCTAGCGTAGGGAGTGTAGTCAGAAATTCTTGTGTGAAAATAAGAGTGTACTTAGTGAGGAATTGAATGAACTCTCTAAGGCATGTTACTACATTCAAAATGTTGTTTTAATTGATTAAATGTGAGCTAGTGAATGGTGACTATGATTAAGTATGCTTAAGGGTAAAGATTGCTTAAATCTATGTGAGTGGTGATCTTTGGCATGTTATGTTTCATTGGAAATCCCTGAGGCAAATGTTGGAAGGTCTAGGTTATGTTTGGTTTGTTTTGTTTGTTTGTTTTGCTCGAGGACTAGTAAAAGCTAAGTGTGGGAGAATTTGACAGGAGTATATTTATGCGACTTAGTTAGCTTGGTCTTGTGCATTTGTGTTGTTATTTCTTAGTTAATTTAGTATTTCAAGTCATTTTCGTGTGTTTGTAGGTCCAAAGGGTTAATGAGGCAAAGAAGTGAATTTTGGAGCATTTTGGAGTAGTTTTGGGCATAAAATGGATATCACATGCTTGGAGCCAAATGGATGGACGAAATTGAAGATTAAAGAAGCTTGGAATCTGCCAAAGAAAGGGAAAAGAAGTGATTCACATCAAAGAAGGAAAAGGAATCCAAGAAGAAGAGGGATTGGCCGAGTCAAGGTTTCCTAATCCTAATGCATAAAGGTTTCAGCTACAAGGAAGAGTCCTAAATACTTTGGGGCACATAAATCTCAGCCCTTGTAGGTTGCCACACCTTTTCCTTCACTTCCCTTCCCTTACCGCACAAGAAAACCCATTCCCTTTAGAGTTAGGGCATTGCCGCACCTAAATCAGGAAGGAAACCCTTTTTCCTTGCCTTGCAAGGCATTCCTTTGCCCTTTCCCTCTCAGACGCACCTAATACTTCTAGAAGCCCTAAAATCTGCACAAACCCTGGTTCTTTTCTCCCTTGAATTGGGCCAAGCCTTTTATCTACAAAACCCTAACCTTTTCCCATCAGAAGTTGTGAAAACCCTAGCCGATAAATAGATGTTTTAAGCCACAAATTCGTACACCACCCCTTACCATTCAGAAATTCAACCTGCCACACCTCATACACCATTCTACATCATTCTTCTCATCCATTCACTTCCACATACAACTTGCCGCACCCTTCACTCTCATCAGCAATCATTCATCATCCTAAACGAACATACACCATCTATCACCCCCAAAACCACCAACCACACCTTGTGCCGTAGCAAGGAAGAAGAAGGAGAGCCCTTGGACGTGCTTGCCATTTGAGTTAGAGTTGCTTGAACCTTTTAAGTGTAATCTTTCTTTTGTTTTCAATGTTTAAATTCAATAATCTTTGTTTTGTGTGTATGAGGAACTAAACCCCTCTTAGCTAGGGGGAATTTCGAAACCATGGCTATACTTGCAATATGATTTGATTACATCCAGTTGTGATTTCATGAATTGTGAATTTAATTTACTTATCTGTTTGAATTAAAACTTGTTTGTGTATGTGGGTTGAGAGTGCACACTTAATTTGCATTCATAAATCTGATGCTAGGATATAAGGGAGTTTCACCTAGTCGTTATGAACTTATATTCATAAGTAGTAAATGTTGTTCGTCATAATTGTGTTAAGTAAATTCCTGGCATAAGTATCATGCGCTTTCATAGTTACGAATGCCTTGTCAATACTTATAATTTTCATAGAGCTTAATGATCTTTGATTGTTTCTCTATTATGCACTTTCATGTAGGGAACTTTTGAAGAATGATTTGATTGCGATGCGCTATTTACGTCCAATTCAATAACATAAGGAAAATCTGAGGGTTAATTTAAGCGTACCTAATTAATCTGGGGTGTTGAGGTTCATGATTCATTGAAAAAGCAATGGGAAATCGTTTTGTATGCAAGTGTGTCATGTGTGGAGAAAGACCTTCTAGCTAGTCCATCATCCATCTAATTCACCCAATTTCGTCCAAAAATCTGTTTAAATCTTTCTTGTTTTGTTTTACTTTATTTTCATCCAAAACCAAATCCCCCTTCCCTTTGTTGAGTCATATTAGTTAGAACTTGTTTTAGATTGTGTTTTTTGAGTGTTTTGAGTTAAGGAAAAACTAAATTTCGTTTAAAAATTGTGTTAGTGTCAGAAATGGCTTAGTTGCTATTTTTAACCAATTTTGAGTGTTTTTAGCTTATTTTGAGTCTTGTGAACTTGTTTTGAGTCTTTTGAGTGTAGCCAAACATTTTAAGTTTATGTTTGTGTCTTTGAGTCAATTTAGAGTGTTTTAGCAATCCCTCCTAATCTCCGGTTTAAGAACGATCTCTACTTACATATTTATTACAATTGTCAAAAGAGGGTTTAATTTGTGTGTTAAGTTAATTTTCGCATCAATGGTGGGGGTGTTGCATTGATGTGGTCGCAGGTGTAGGTGTGTGTGTCTCGGCAAAAGAGGAGGAGAATGAGTAAAGGTGAGTGAGAGTGAAAGAAGAAGAAAATAAAGAGAGTGAAAGAGAGATCACGGGACAGGAAAGAACCCCTTAGAAAAATGGGGAATCTTGCCACATGTCAGAGCAAGTGTGGTCCAAAAATGTTGAAATATCTCCAATGCAAAAATTACCCAAAATGCCCTTATCATTCCAAGTTCCATAAAATCTTCATTTTAGCTCCAAATTCAATTCCGCTTGCGCTCATGTGTTAGTATCGTCGAGTACTACACAAATACGCTAAAAGAATACTTTGTACGCCTCACTATACGCTAATAAACGAAAGTCAATGCCTTCCGCCTCTAGGGACATTTTCTTAAATTCACATATTTAAAATTTATAAAATGTAAAAATTAGGGACGGGTTGTCACACCAGCTTTGAGTCCATCACATAATGGACAGAGCAAGAGACTGGCCTACATGATGCCAGACTAACGTCAGCTGATGTGAAATAGATAAGCACACAAATTAAACCCTCTTTTTTGTCAAATTGTAGCAAAGATGTAAGTAGGGATCGTTCTAAACCGGGGATTAGGAGGGATTGCTAAACACTTGGAAACTAACTTAAAACTCAAAAACAAAGTTTAAAACACTAAACTAGACTCAAAGAATGCAAAAGTAAAGGTTAAAACACTTAAACAAACCTAAAACTCAAAACAGCAACTAGAAGGCTCAAAACTGCCTAAAAACCACTTTCTGGGCAGTTTTGAGCACCTACACTAATTTGGACGAAATTTGATGAAAACTTGAATCAAAATACTTAGAAACACAAATCAAAACACTTTCTAACTAATCTAAGACTTCAAATTAAAGGGGGATTTGTTTTGGACGAAATTTGAAAACAAAACAGAAACTTAAAACTAAACAGATTGTAAAACGTTTTTGGATGAAATGGATGGATAAAAGGCTAGT